TAGGCTGCTCTGCTAAAATTTCTGCAAAATGTTCTTGTACCAAGACTGACATAAATTTGAATTGGGGAATTCATAATATACACTAAACAAAAAGACAGACTAGAAATGATTTATTTTGTGGTTTCAAATCTGAGAACTTTTATTGTATTTATTTTTGTCATTTTTATTTTTTATTGTATTGAAAATAGATCCCTTTCTCACATAATATATCCCTACTACAATTTCCTTCCTCTCCATTTTCCCAGTTTCTCCCTATCTCCCCTCCTATCCAGATCCACTCACTTTCTGTCTCTCATTAAAAAGAAGAGACTTCTAAGAGATAGTATTGTAATTTAACAAAATAAGATATAATAAGATAAAACAAAAACTATCATATAGAAGTAGGACAAAACAAACCAAGGAAAAGAGTCTAAGAGAAGACATAAGAATCAGAGACCTGTTCATTCACACCGAAGTATCCCAGAAATACACTAAACTGGAAGCCACTATATATAGATAAAGGAGCTGGTGCAAACCTGTGCAGACCCTGTGCGTGCTGCCTCAGACTCTGAGTTCATATGAGCTTTGTTTGTGTTGACTTAGAAGGCCTTGTTTTCTTGGTGTCCTCCTTCTTCTCTGGCTCTTACCCTCTTTCCATCTCCTCTTTTGTGAAGTTCCCTGAACTCTGTGGGGAGGGATTTGATGCAGAAGTTCTGCTTTGGGCTGAGTGTTCCAGGGTCTCTCACTTTTTGCATAATGTCTCTGTAAGTCTCTGTATTTGTTCCCATCTGCTACATGAGAAAACAAGAAGGAATTTTATATCTTTACTATATGTAAAGGGTATTTGTTTTTTGTAAATGATAATTGCTAAAAAAAACATAACTCGTAGATATCACTGAAATGCTTGGAGAAATGTATGAAATTTTCTCATCCAAATAAAAATGCTGGCATAGAATGCAAGATTACTAAGAGTCCCTACCAGGTTTAGTCCTCTCACTAAAAACTACAAGGAAAGAAAAACTATCAAGGGAAGAAAAAACATAACTAAAGTTTTTTTAAGAAAAAAGAAAAAAACTGAAACTTAACCAATGGACTAACTCTTCTTCTGGAATCATCTAAAGGCCAAGTGGACTATGGTTTTGTCTTTCGAATATTTCAAATATTTAATTTCCTTGTAGATGGAGTACATACTGTTTGTGAACACCCTAAAATTCTCTAGATACAATATCAATGATTGACTATAATGGTAGACAGAACATACAAATTTGTTTTTAGAAGTTGGGGAAAAACCCAGATGTCCAGCAACGGAGGAATGGGTACAGAAATTGTGGTATTTTTACACAATGGAATACTACTCAGCAATCAAAAAGGAGGAAATCATGAAATTTGCAGGCAAATGGTGGGATCTAGAAAAAAATCATCCTGAGTGAAATATCCCAGAAGGAGAAAGACAAACACGGTATATACTCACTTATATAGACCTATAAGATGTGATAAACATAATGAAATCTGTACACCTAAAAAAGATAATCAAGAGAGCGAACATGGGATAAGATGATCAATCCTCGTTTAGAAAGACAGATGGGATGCGCATTGAACATTGACAGGAGTCTACTGAGCGCATTTGAAAGACTCTAACTAGCAGTGTTTTCAAAGCAAAGACTCATGACCAAACCTTTGGCAGAGTACAGGGAATCATAAGAAAGAAGGGGAGTTAGTCTGATGGGGAAAGGATAAGAACTCCACAAGGACCAAATATATCTGGGCACAGGGTCTTTTCTGAGACTGACATGCAACCAAGGACCATGTATGGATATAACATAGAACCTCTGCTCAGATGTAGTCTGTGGTAGCTAAGTAACCAATTGGTTTCCTATAGTGAGGGGAACAAGGACTATTTCTAACAGGAACTCAATGACTGGCTCTTTGGCCTCCCCACCCCCCAAGGGAGGAGCAGTCCTGTTAGGCCACAGAGGAGAGCTTTGCAGCCAGTCCTGAAGATACCTGATGAAACAGGATCAGATGAATGGGGAGGAGGTCCCCCCTATCAGTGGACTTGGAAAGGGACACAGTGGAGAGGAGAGAGGGAGGGAGGGAGGGACTGGGAGGGAATGAGGGATCGGGACACGGCTGAGATACAGAGTTAATAAAATGTAACTGATAAGAAAAAAATAAAATAAAAAAAAGAAGTTGGAGAAATAGCTCAGTGTTTAGGAACACTATTTTCAAAGAAGATCTGAGTTTCATTTCTAGCACTTATCTTTTTTGACAGTGTCTTTTGTCTTCTGTGGACATCCACATACTAATGACATATACTCACATCCTCATAAAAATAAAAGCAAATCTTTAAAAACAAAGGTGAATTAATTATTTTTATTATGAGAATAGTACTTCATTTCAAATCTTTTGTATGCATAATTTTCCTATCGTTGAGGTATACTTTTTAAATAAGACTTAAGCAATATAGTTGTCTTCAGAAACAGCAATCTGAGATCATTGCTTCCAGTGATCATATATGCATGAGTGTTCATGTTACAGTAATAAATGGTTTGATGTAAGAGAGAAGATTTCCAGAAAACTTGCTGTGTGTTCAAAAATTAGCAAATGTGACCAAGCTGAAAAAGAATGACTATGGCCCTTCAAGGTCAAAGTGGAATTTCTGGGCTAAAGACTTGATCATAATCTCACCTGCTCATTCCTCTGGTATTAATTGACAGCTACAATGTACAATGTACAGCTATAGTACAAGGTACTATACAAGGTACATGGGTTACAGACAGAAAATAGTCCTCAAGGAGATCATAGCTGCAAAGGAGATTCATTCAACACCAGTACCAGGAGGTACCTGTAACTCAGCATCATTACATGATTACATGAGGGATGCATGCCAACTGTCCCTTTAGCATGTGTTCGTGGTAGTAAGTTCAGAATCACATTGTGACTGAGCATGAACTTCCACATCAGATACTTATGTTGAGGCCCTACTCTGTGATTTATTAAAAGTATGACCTAAGGAAATTGTTTTATTTCCCTCTTCCTGTCTTCAGCATCTGTGAGATAGGGATATTGACCTGTGTGACAAAATTAAACAATCTAATCTATGCTTTGGGTTAAACAGTGCAATATTTTTTTTTTATTTTATGGGTTTTGGTTGAACAAATGACATTCAAAATTCACTCATAAAGTTGGAAATTGGACTTCATGAGGTTAAATACCTGTTTATTAAAAAAAAAAGTATTATGAGTGCCAAAGACAAGCCACAGACAAAAGGCTCCAATTACAACACTGGAAAAGGCTTGAACTTTCCGTGTCTACCATGTATACGCAGGCAATAGCCCATGCAGCACTGTCTTTTACCCAGAGAAAACATGAAAGTTTTTAAGGAGTTCAAAGTCTTACATGCAATGGGCATCTCTGTATCAGAACCATCAACTTCTTTGTGCTCCTCAGAGATGATGGATATATTTGTGTCCAGTATAAATGAGGTTCAAGTGTCAGTTCTATCAGTCAGGTACTACTGGCTTAACCAACAGATTGAGTCCAGACAAATGTTTACTATGGGGAGCCACACACATGACCTGGAAAGCCAGCCAGCAATCCTGATTCATGTCCAGAGTTCTTAATCTCAAATAGAACTGTCCTTCACCTGTCACACTCAGTTTTCCAAAGGACAGGTGAAATGCACAGACAATTGACAACTAAGCCAGTCAGGAAAAAATGTAACAAGGGTCATTTAGATGGATAATCCAACCTGCTTTGTCTTTTACCCACTGAATGCAAGGGCCATGTTCATGGTCACATCTGCACAGCTGGTGTGGAGATTGGACAGTCAGAGTAGGTCAGTAGATACCATCACATTTTACTTAGCCAAGTATATGAGCTCGTCCTAACGTTGATAGAAACTTCTTTCCCCAAAGACATAGGTTCCCCCACTTGCTATGAAGCTGGATGTCACTGGAACTATTTCCTTTGTACAAGAAGGTTATTGAGCCCTTCTCTTCTTCTTTGTCATGCCAGAGTTCAATCCCACCAAAGAGAAATACAAAGTTACAGTCCAAATGCCTTCAGCAATCTGATGCCCTGGTGTCCAGGAAAACTCAAAAGCAAATAGTTGCTTTTCAAAATCAAGCCATGTCTAGAAGACAGCTCCACAAAACAAAAACAAAACCTTCATAAGGTGTCTTGTATTGTGTGAACTTAAATCGGTGACATCATCTGTTACAAAGACTGCTTTCTTAGGTGGGTCATTAGGGCTCTTGGGTCTCCCATGTGGAAAGTTTGCCACAGCTTCTCCCAGCTAATCCTTATGAGTCCTGATCAAGTTATGTACAAGACCAAGCAGAACAACCAGGTAAGGCTTGTGCTGGTTTCAGTACCCTGTGAATTGCAGTAAAGTGCTCAGTTTCTCTTGTGATGACAGAGACCCCCACCTCCGCCAGCCCTCAGAAATTGCTGGTAGTTATCTTAGGAAGATACGGGTCAGGGTAAGGTATAAAGAGTCTGGGAAACTCATAATTCAATGATTTGAATCGTTTCACTGATGTTTGGCTTTTGGTTTGGGGTCAGGGTATCATATCTTACTATTGTGAGCCCCACCTCCACCTCAAAAAAAATCCAGGCAGGAGTCTGAATTTTAAGCGGTTAATTTACACGTGAAAAGCACACGCCTGGAACTCTGGAAATTCAAACTGCTCACTGAACAACAGGACTTCCTTGCTAGTTAGCCAGATCTGGATGTCAGAACATTAGACAGGGAAGCCATGAAAGATGATAAGTAACAAAGTGTTTGTGTTAACTTCTGTGAATTTTATTATCAGAGTCTATGTGTATGTCAGCTGAACGTTCCGTTTTGAATTAAGTTGTCAATCTATCTCTAAAGTGCTGGAACACTTGGCTACTAACTCAGCCATGCGTGGGTAATTCGGTTTATTTAGCCCTATGGATTTTAAATAGTGTATATCAAGGGGAAAATGTTCACTAGGTTATTTGCATTTTAATCTTTTAGAAAAAAAAAAACTGTTACCCCCTGGCAATGGGCAAAGAGACACTTTGTTAGTGGTGTTGTTCTTAGATCAGTCAGGGACAGAGAAGATGGCCGTCTTTTGCTCATCTTTGCTTGATGCCTGGCTTGGCGGCCAAAGCTATTTTATGCCTAGGACACATAAAAACCAAATCAAATCAAATCCAGACAGAGCAGCGCTAAGAGAAGACCTGCATTCCACCATGCCACACAGTGTGGGAGGGAAAAGATGCCCCCTCCTGCAGTCTGGAAAGCTGCCCACAAAGTCAAGAGCACCGGAGAACTGATCCTGCCCCTCACCGGACTCTGGAGAGCTGGCCTGGACCGCACTGTAGAGAAGGCTGTAGTGGGGTGTGTGGGCTGATGGTGGTGAGCTGATCAGGACAGCCTAAGTGAGGGAGAGCTGGCCTCCTCGGCTGTGAGGCTGTGAGGCTGTGAGGTGGCGTGGTGTGTATGTGGGGGCGTGGTGTGTATGTGGGGGCGTGCTGGGCAGCACAGTGGAGTGGACCCTGATGGCGAAGGCTCACTGAGCCTAACCCGGGCTGCCAGAGCAGGCACTGGTGTGGAACTACAGCCTGGAAGCAGGAGTAACTCACCCGTGACTCCATCCGTGAAGACAATGACTTCCTCTACCTCGGCAGCCCTTCCTTTTCATAGCTCTCCTGGGAGGAGTAGATCTTAAGGCCTCTCTTCTCTATCCGTGACTGAATGTAGATGGCTCAGCTCCTGTGAAAGTCTTGTGTATTTCACCACAGCTGCTGTGAATTCATGGCTGCAACTGCCTTGCCATGCCCATATGACAGCTTTTCTTTTCCCACTCTTCCCTAGCCCTTGACTTGTGTGTTCTCTCCACCTCCTCTTTCAGGTTCCCTGAGCACTGAAAGAGGTGATAATGTAAGTTCTGCTGAGGCCTGAGCACTCAGCAGTCTCTTGTTCTTAGCACCACAAGCAGCCATGAATCTACACTACCCAAGATTCACTATCAGGCTTCTCTGAGTAAGGCAAGAAACACTATTGACTCATTTTTCTTGATGGATTTTCTTTTCATTGACTGGATCAACCTTTTTGGCAGATTTTTTTTTGAACAATTTATAATTCATCTTTTGATTTTACTCAGTAAAATGTTTAGATACACTAAATATCTAAAATAAAACAGCTGGACCAGGACAGCTGTAAATACATTACGAACTGGTATTGATTGTTGGAGAATTTTGTAAACATAAATCAGCAAAAGAAACAATGACGAGGAAGCACAGACTGAGGTACAGCCTCATTTGAGCCATTTGCTTTTCAAATAACAAGCCCCGAATATAGTCTGATAAGCAACAATTATGAAGCAGAACATAAAGTAATTACCATCCTGAAAAACAAACCCATAATGTCAATATTTTCCCAAGATAGTTCTGCTATTTCATATTTCTGGTTCCTGGGAAATAATTGTCAGAGTGAATCAGCAGCACGTGCCAGAGCCCTCCTAGAAGCTGAATTAAAGAAGTTCAAACAAAGAGACAGACAAGTAAACAAATAAACAAACTTCCAGATATCCATTTAATAATGGGGGGTTGTTTATGTGTTAGCATAGGCTGGGACACTGGTACTTTTGTTTTTGTTTTGTGTGTGAGGGCGTGAAGAAACTGACACTCCCTTCCTCAGAAAACTCAAGCGCCTGCCCGGTGGTGCCTCAGCTACAGGTGGAAGTTCATGACCTCCCTCTTGCAACCACGCTGTAATTTTGCCTGAGCTGCTCTTTCACAGTCACAGCCTCTGAACATCCACGTATGCACTGTCCCTGTCACGTTCTGAAGATGTTGTCTCGCTGCGGCCGTTCGCTACTTCATTTCCTTACTCTCTTTTTGCTCTCTCTTCCACGATGATCCCTGAGCCTTGAGGGAAGGGTTCACCTCATTTCTGGGACTCTGTGAGAGACTCCATTTAAGCCAGGCCCACTGGCCAGCAAGTCCCCAGCCCCTCCTCTCTCTGCTTCCCTGCACTGTGGTCACCGTCACATGCCACCACACACATTTTTATTTTTATATGGGTGCTGCGAATCAGAGCTCAGGTCCTCAAGCTCGCTTGCACAGAAATCACTTTCCCAAGAGAGCCATCTCTCGGCCCCATGCTGGGACATTTTAAAGTGGAAATGAATGAGCCTGACATCATCTGTGATCATGTATGACTCTTGAAAACATGATGCATTATCCAAATAGATAAGATACCACAAGGGCTGATGTTATTAACCTGTCAGCTCCGCTTGCTGAAAGACAGATAACTTCCTGGAATGGGAGAGGCTATTGTTCATGTAAGATAACAAGTCGCATTTTTTTCCCTCTTCAGTAAACAAGGTTGGTTTCCCCAACTGCACAGGTTGTGCTTGAACACACATAGGTGGGAAATACTTAGGCAGGAAATACATCAGGTTGTACACTTGTCCTTAATTGGACGAAGGCAGGAAGTACATAGCCTAGTAGATTTGGCCTTTATAGGCGCTCGACTGAAGTAATTCAGTGCCATTTCTCTGGGAATCTTGGTTCTGGCCAGTGTCCACCTTCCTGGACAGTGTTAAATAAAGCTTGCTTTAATTTGAATATGGTGGGTTTGGTCTTTCACCTTGTAATTTTCAAGTTTAACAATAAACAGAATCTATTCCGTATGATTTCATAGGTGTAAAGTCCACACCCTGAATAGTAACTGGCAAGAGACAAGCATACAAGTAATAAAGCTATGAGAAAGGCTGAGGATAGAAATACACAGAACACTGTTGCTGAGATTACTTCTCAGACCTCACTGCACATTAAAAGGAACTGGGGAGCTTTTAAAAACTTATTGATGTGCAGGACTCAGCCCAGAACAATTAAATTAGAATCACTTTACTCAGTGGCTTAGCTAAGACTTACAGTAAACAGACACTTAAGGTTTCATTGAGGAAATTGAGGTCATCTTTTCTCAGTATCCCGGGGTCTCTTCTTTTGCAATTATCCCTTCCCTCTCCTCAGCACTAATTTCCCCCTGCACACTAGGGTTACTCTTTCAGCATGCTCGTGTGCCTTAATATTGTAGAGCTTCGAAGAAACAATGAGCTGGAGGAGTGAAAGACAGTCACTGGCATGGTGGCTTCCTTCCCTGTCTGCTAACCTGTTTCTCTCTGCTCTTAGAACCATCGTTCTAGAAATGGTCGTCCATGCCTCCTTCCTCAGCTTCCTTATTTCTGTGTCCTCTCAATCCAGGCAGGCTTTTATCCACAGCACAGGCCCAAACAGTTTTAAGACCAGCAGTAATGATCTTTTGTGGGATCATGTGGTCAGTTGTTTAAGTTCTTCATATTCAACTTTTCAACAGAAGAAGGTTGATAACAGACTCCCCCTTTTTCTCCTGGTTCTTGGATCTCTGCTCTGGGTTCTCCTTTCTTTTTTTGACTTCAGACTATAGATGTGAACCCATTCTTGGTCCTCAGTGAGGCTGATTGCCTTTTTTTTCCCCTGAGATGAGGGAATTCAGTGTTTATCTCAGCTCTGATGTCTCTTCTTAACTCTGTCTTTAATCCCAACTATAAACACAATCTTGTGTTTAATTTTTCCTTCTTTTATTTCCATATTTCTTTCTCACTGTTATAGTCCAGAAAGGCTTCAAATTTTGGTTCCTCCTACCTTATCCTCCTAAATGTTAGGTCTATAGGTATATGTGGTTCTACTCAACTAGGTTTTTTTTTTTATTCTAACCCTAAACTGATTCTCACCATTCACCCAGTTGCTTAAGACATATACCAATGACATCCAATTTACGCACAAATCTTTGATGAACCTTCACATTAAGGAATGAATTTTCTCTACTATCTCTTCTGATACAGTCTTAATTCCACTGTTTTGTTGTTGTTGTTTTATTTGTTTGCTTTTATTTTTCCCTTTTCTTTCCCCAGTTTTCCTAAAGCAGTTCTGAAAGCAGTCTTTCTTGTATAAAGTAACAAAATAAAACCCTTTAGCACTGTCTCAAGGCTGAGCTCCTCAGTGTGGCCTATAGAGATAAGATCTGACCATTCTTACCTTAGTGCTGAGGCTGCAGACCAAATAGTCCTTAGATCCCATAGACATGCCTGCATTTTCTTATCTTGGTGTCTAGAATTAAACTTTCAGTCTGTCTTTTCTTTCTTTCTTTCTTTCTTTCTTTCTTTCTTTCTTTCTTTCTTTCTTTCTTCCTTCCTTCCTTCTTTCCTTCCTTCCTTCTTTCCTTCCTTTCTCTCTTTCTCTCTCTCTCTCTTTCCCCTAGGATTGCTTCTTTCTGACCTAGCTAGCTTTTATCCTTTGAGTAATTCAGTTCTTAGCTTAAATGCCATCTTTTTCTCAATGCATCTCCTCCCTTGCCCTCTTAGCTCCTAGAAATGTGTGCTCCAACTTCCCTCACACACCACCTCCAGCACTCTGATTCTTTTGTGTTTTGATGACTGTATTGTAGCATAATTATATATTCAGTTATAAGTGTACTTGCCTTTGCCTCATTACACTACCAGCTCCAGAGAAGGGAGACATTTGTCTTCTTTCCAAATGTACCCTTAATATTTACAGCAGAGCCTGGCAATCATTAGAGCTATAATAAATGTTTTGAATGGATAAAATGTACTAAATCAAACTAAACTTTCTGTTCCTTAATGTGCTATTTGAGAATCCATGTTTTATTTCTATATTGGATTAAGTTTCTTTTTTCATTTTATTTTATTTGTAAACTTTCATGATCATTTCTTAAAATGCTAGAGTCACAGCTCATTTCCTGAATATTAAACATTCGCTTTGCTATAACGTTGCTCTTTCATGGAAAACCATAACTGAGGCTATGTTTCTGAAGCCATTTCTCCCATTTCTGAGGTCACCATATTCCCCCGGTTACATTTTTCTGCTCCAGTTTCGCACTGATCTTCACCATTCACTGTCACTCTTGTTAGCTCACTTCTGCGCCTTCCCCAGAGCTTGCATCTGTTTGCATCATCCTTCAGGACTCATGAGGCTCTATATCAACATACATTCTTTTAGACTCTGCCGTCAGGAAACTGAACATGCTGCTAGCTGTCTGTTCCTTTCTTTCCCATATGGCTTTCCAACCGCTGAAAGCATGGACTCATTTTTTGAAAGAAAGTATAGGTGTCCTGAAGATACCACT